TAAAACGAAATAATAATTCGATAAAACGAAATAATATTTCGATAAAACGAAATAATAATTCGTTTTAACGAAATAATATTTCGAAAAAACGAAATAATAATTCGTTTAAACGAAATAATAATTCGAAAAAACGAAATAACAATTCGATAAAACGAAATAAAATAAGTGTGTAGCATGTCAGTTAACGGGCTCCGTAGGATACCTTACAATTCATCAAATTATAAATGTATAAAACGTGCAATCAAAATGTACAACACTACACAGTTTTAATTTCGGAAAATTTGAGGTATTCTTCAATTGAATAAAAAAATATGTGGTTCTTATAAAAAACTAATAGACCAATTAAATTACGTTTCTTATTACAGGGAACAGGATTGGTTGATTTTACTGGAACATCATTTGAAGTCCATGGCAACTGTAATGCTCCAAGGGCAGTAACTCTGTCAGCCTTGATCTACTGTCTGAGATGTATGGTTGGCCATGATGTACCTCTAAACCAGGTTAGTAAAATAAAACTTCATTTCTATTTTTTTAAAGAACGACAAAATTAACAAATTACATGATAAACAACCTATCAAACTTCTTTGAATCCAAGCCTACTGAAAGTGGAGAAAGTCCTCTTGATGCTTTTGATTAGGCTGTATTCTCAGGGGTTTTTCAATGCACTAGTCTAGCAAAAATATGGTTTTCAGTATGGTATTGTGATGTTTAAAAAGTTTTGTTTGATTAAAAAGTTAATTAATCAACAAATAGATAGCATCTCAATGCTGCAAACAGGAACAGATCCAATATTTTCCTATTTTCTGTATGTCACTTTTAATTTTGATGCCCAGTTATAATTTAAATGTCATTATGTTGATTGTACCCATACAGGGCTGTCTTAAGCCTGTCAGAGCAATCATACCCAGCGGTAGTATCCTTGACCCTTCAGAGAGTGCAGCTGTTGTCGGGGGAAACGTTCTTACCTCTCAACGAATCGTGGATGTGATACTAAAGGCTTTTGGAGTCTGTGCTGCCTCACAGGTAATGCAGTTTAAGGGAGTTGCCTCCCTCTAAATACAAATTTCCAATGCCACTATGCATCCAATTTTATATTCAAAAAAATATTTAGCTGTGTAACTTGTTAAATTGAATGTGTGAATAAACTGAAATCAGAATGGCTATACCATGACACATGGAAATTATGTTTGTGGCAACAAATCCAATTGAATCCATACATTCTGAAATTCCAAGAGATTTTTATATTATTATTGTCTTGTGTGCATGTCTGCATGTCATCAAGGACAAACGTTTGTTGGTACAGCACTCCAACAGTAATAGTTACTTGAGTGATCAATTCAATGCTATTCAGCATGTCATATTAAGCAGATTGCAAAGTGTCTCATTGAGAAATACAAAAGAGACGTATATCACATGAATAAATATGTATTCACAATGTGTTTAGGACATAAAGGTGGTTTTTGTTATCAAGTGAATTCTTTGAGAGAAGAAACTTTGAACCTAATGCTATGACATCATGTCTATTGGCTTAACATTAACACAGGAAAACTTGTCACATTACATGAGGTTGTCCAGCGTAAATTTTTGAAATGTTTATGTTTTGAGGCACACGTTGACTACAATTCCATGTCTTATGCTGACACTTGTAGGCATTTTAACCTTCCTAGCCTCAAACATAGGCGGGTATTTTTAGACTGTGTATTTCTTTACAAATGTGTTAATAGTGCTTTTGATTGTCCATATTTAGTCAAGCAAATGTGTTTTTAGTCCCTGGTCGTAATCTGCGATCAATTCGTTTTAACCAGTTTTACTGCCAGAGAAGTAGAATAAATGTAAGAAAGTAAAGTATTTTAAACAGGATTCAATGTAATTTTAACTATCTTGATTTTGCACCTGCAGACTGTGATACTGGTCGTAATCTGCGCGATGAGTTCAAAGTACGGTTAAAGAATATTTGCTATCACCAATTCCTTTTGTTTTACATATGAGTATCTTTTAGTCTGTGTTACATCCATAACTGACTGTGATATTTTATACTTGTGTTGTAATGTTGTTATCCATTCTGTAAGCGCACCCTTGGGTCTGTTGAATTGGAAATAAATAAATAAGTAAATAAGTAACATGTGAAATGTAGAGTGTGTTTACTACACTACATGGTAGTTGTGAGATAATACACCATACTATGACATAACATGTGAAATGTAGAGTGTGTTTACTACACTACATGGTAGTTGTGAGATAATACACCATACTATGACATAACATGTGAAATGTAGAGTGTGTTTACTACACTACATGGTAGTTGTGAGATAATACACCATACTATGACATAACATGTGAAATGTAGAGTGTGTTTACTACACTACATGGTAGTTGTGAGATAATACACCATACTATGACATAACATGTGAAATGTAGAGTGTGTTTACTACACTACATGGTAGTTGTGAGATAATACACCATACTATGACATAACATGTGAAATGTAGAGTGTGTTTACTACACTACATGGTAGTTGTGAGATAATACACCATACTATGACATAACATGTGAAATGTAGAGTGTGTTTACTACACTACATGGTAGTTGTGAGATAATACACCATACTATGACATAACATGTGAAATGTAGAGTGTGTTTACTACACTACATGGTAGTTGTGAGATAATACACCATACTATGACATAACATGTGAAATGTAGAGTGTGTTTACTACACTACATGGTAGTTGTGAGATAATACACCATACTATGACATAACATGTGAAATGTAGAGTGTGTTTACTACACTACATGGTAGTTGTGAGATAATACACCATACTATGACATAACATGTGAAATGTAGAGTGTGTTTACTACACTACATGGTAGTTGTGAGATAATACACCATACTATGACATAACATGTGAAATGTAGAGTGTGTTTACTACACTACATGGTAGTTGTGAGATAATACACCATACTATGACATAACATGTGAAATGTAGAGTGTGTTTACTACACTACATGGTAGTTGTGAGATAATACACCATACTATGACATAACATGTGAAATGTAGAGTGTGTTTACTACACTACATGGTAGTTGTGAGATAATACACCATACTATGACATAACAACCTATTTTGTTTTTTGCTCTGTTGTAATTTCCAATTACTAGCAGGCCTGTGGTCTCTATTTGGAATTAAATTGACTCTACTTTACATATCCGGAGATGTTTTCTTCTCAGTAGTACAATATTGTATTATTATTTTCGCAGGCTAATGTTATTAAGGTAATAGGATTGTGTCACCATTTCTCAGTAGAATTTCTTGAAATTTTGTAGTTATATTGCTTTGAATTAAAGAAAAATTTCTGCTGCAAAAAAAATATAGGTTGTCACAATTTTAAGGATTTTAAATGGAAATTTATGTAAAAAGGAGTGAATTTTGAAAAAAAATGAAAGACACAATTTTTTCCAAAATAATGTCAATAAAAATTATATTGACATAGATTAGTATTGCATTAATGTATATCAATTTAATAAATGGTGAAATTGTGTAAAATTAATTATCTATAAACGATTAACAATTGACATTTTATAATAAAATCATATACGCATAGTAATTGCAGGTAAGAGTTATCTTTCTTGAAAAACTTCACAGTAGTGAAATAGGTAGCCGGTTTCCTGAAGTACAGAAACATGGACACATGTGACTCATTGATAAAAAACAACTGAATTAATGCCTGGATTGGTTTGAAATACTTTAATATTGAAAGAACACACTGTTCTGTCAATAATAAACATACAATATTCATCAGTTAAATATTAAACATTAGATTATGCTAGGGATGTACTTCCTATTTCCGTTTATCAATACACCCCTATGACCTTAAGGCAGTTTTTCAAAAATTTGTATTAAATGTTTATCACCCAGAAAAACCTTCAACACGACAACAAAAGGTCTGTATTGCCATGCACTTGTTCTGTACACATATGATTTAATGCTCTAAACAAGGATTGGGTAACACCTGGACTCTAAACAAGGATTGGGTAACACCTGGAACCTAAACAAGGATTGGGTAACACCTGGAACCTAAACAAGGATTGGGTAACACCTGGAACCTAAACAAGGATTGGGTAACACCTGGAACCTAAACAAGGATTGGGTAACACCTGGAACCTAAACAAGGATTGGGTAACACCTGGAACCTAAACAAGGATTGGGTAACACCTGGAACCTAAACAAGGATTGGGTAACACCTGGAACCTAAACAAGGATTGGGTAACACCTGGAATCTAAACAAGGATTGGGTAACACCTGGAACCTAAACAAGGATTGGGTAACACCTGGAACCTAAACAAGGATTGGGTAACACCTGGAACCTAAACAAGGATTGGGTAACACCTGGAACTAATGGGAAATCAATTAGTTATGTATTCTTCATAGTTTACATTTTGTAATATTTCAATCATATAGACATGCACGAACAATACAATTTATATTATTTATAACTTTATTTGGCAAACTGATGATGGTGGATATTAGAACACAGTTATTATTTCATTACTGAATGGTGACATGATTGTATACTTTTTCGCCAAAGTTTCACTTTTGCCTCTTTTGTTTTCTGGTGCGAGGGCAAAATATCATGACAACAGATATTAGTACACAGAGTACCCTATATAGGAATAAAATGTGAAGGGCGAAATATACACTGGATGAAATGTAATTTTACGGGTGAAGGGCAAATGTTTGCCATGGCGAAAGTTTCATGGTATTCAGTAACATCCAGCAAATATCGGTGTATGTATGGACTTCACCAGGTAAACATTGGATACATACAGCAAATATCGGTGTATGTATGGACTTCACCAGGTAAACATTGGATACATACAATCATTCCCCCCATTCCTCAGTTCCAATGAGGGAGAAAGTGTGTGAAACCCAACTGAAACTGTTTTGTTAAATTTATCTTTCCCTTTTTATGTTTCAAAATAACTCCAAAAAGCATTCGTTTGATTCAGACACACCTGTTATGATCATTACACACACCCTGCATTAACTAGGAGATCATTTGACCACAGGATGTAGATTTTGAGTTTGAGTGAGTTTGGACATGAATAAGGGCATTTCGAGGGAGATTGGTAAATTTTGATGAAAATGAGGGAGTATCCCTCGTAATGAGGGAGTCTCCCTCGTAATGAGGGAGTGTTGACAGCTATAAGAAGAGATTTGGTATATATCAGTCATAGGGATCTGGTATAGTGAGGTGTTCAGTGACACAAGTAAAGGGGACCTGTTTATCACTGAATTTTTACCCCCATTACCGGTAGATATGATTTAATTATGTAATACAACAGAACATTAGCTGGCAGTGTTACAAAGTACAATATGGATTTGCTGTATGGTGTGTGTGTGGTCTAGTGTCAGACCCAGACTGTGTAGTAAATAGGATAAATCTGTTAATATCAAAAGGAGTGCTGTCAATCTTCTACAAGTGTGCAGTTAAACCCATGGTAAACTTCCCATTCATATTCTACGTTTGTTTCCTAAACTCATTACAATGTGCACTCTTGAAAATTTGAAGTTTTAAGAAACTCAATTGCAACATTGTCCTTTATTTATTTTTTAGTTATAAGCTTATTTCCTTTAAGTGCAGTTGTTGCCAAAATGATGCGATTTCTACTTTACTTTAAACATCAAATTTTCAAAACATTTACTCCGCTTATGATAATATCAGGTCTGGTGTTCTTCTTAAATGCAAAAAGATAATTATGCATAATAACTTCCTCAATTAAACAATTATAGATGAACATCTGTGAAGTTTCTGACACTTTATTACTAGATTCTATTTTTGACAAAGCAGAAGCCGTGTATATTCAATCTGATATTTTGTCATTTGTATACTGCAAAATTAGGATTTAGAAATTAACATCAACTGTTTGAGGTAGATGTGGCCTGATGACTCTTTTTATACCAAATAGATTACAAGGGCAATAAGACAATGTGATTCTCACGTTGCTGTGCTAGCTCTATCAATA